TAAATAAGTTAATAACTGCAATTATATAATTGTAATAAATGTGCATACCTGAATAAACTTCATCATTATCAGTAAACATACAGGCACAAAAAAAGCACATAAAAAAAGCATATGAAAAAACGAAAAAATATGAAACGAAAAAAATATTTTTTTCAAAAAATGAGACAAAAAATATTTAGTTACGTGTTGTCATTGGATGATACACCGCCATATACTCGAAAATTAATTAAAATTTTTTTTTGCTAATAACCTACTTTCTAAACTTGATCGAAAATTTTCAGAATTTCAATCTTATCTACCATCATTTATCTTAACTTATCCACTCATTTATCCCAACAAATGTATGATAAAACTTTACCATTCTGAATTATTCCATGTTTTAGACTATTAAAACATAATCATTCACCATCCAAATAGATCATCTTTACAATAGGCAGCCATCATCAGTGTTACAAAAAAAAAAAAAAAAAACTTTTTCTGTATTCGGCTACTAAACAATGCAAACTTTCACTGCTGCTTCATACATTTCATTTAAATCTTTTACTCCAATTTATTCCAGTTTAATATTAGTGCAGTTAATCATTAGCAAAATTTTATTATCGCGAATTACTGTTTTCAACCCAATCAATACATTGTAGTTTCAAAAATGTTTCCAACAATTTGCCAAATTGGTCGATCGGGAGAGCATGACAGACTGATTATTTCCGAAATGATAAAATAAAAATTGGAAGCAAACATCACTTTTAAATAAACAATTTCGCAGAAAAAAGACTCGAGTTTTTTTTTCTATTAATTAACCAATTTGCTAACTGCCCGACTCCAATAATGAAAGAATTAAAAAATGTTATACAGAAAAATTTAAGACCCCTGATAATTTAAACATTTTGAAAGCTGATTATTAAATCCCCAAAAAGATAACTAATGCTCAGATGTAATGGCTGAAAAAAATAGTTCCAATCAATGTAAGTTTAGAGCGTTATATATAAATAATATTCAATGAAGAATCGTAAATTTCAAAGGTAAACAAGTGCTTAATACCAAGACAAATCCTTCATTTACAAAATCCTGTTTTGCATTATAATATCACATTACAATATCCTTCATCCAAGTCGAATTCCTTCATGAATTTTCGTTGAAAAACAGTTGCAGAAATGCATTCAAAAAAATTCGAATTTCAGTGTATTAGGAATTATTACAGCTAATTGACAAAAATATAATTATCAAACAAAATTATGCAAACAAAACCTAAACAGATCTCGAAATCTTTGGTGCAACTTTTGGAACCATGGTGGCATTAACTTGTTTCGTAATTCCCATCATAGAATCATTTCCCTCCTTTCCAATGCTTCCGTTGTCTTCTTTTGATTTCACTCGTTGCATTCCTGCTTCACTTGGCGTTATTAAATTATTCACCATAGAACTAATTTCCAGCCGCGCATGTGAATGCTCAATGTTTCGAACTTGCTGATGTAACAAGTGAAAATTGTCAATCTCGAGTTGGCTTGGCAAAGATGCATCGAAATAATAATTTTTAAAGCCAACTACAACTAACGAGTGCAACAGAAACACACAAAGTATCGTTCCCAAAGCAATCTGGAAAAGATTGAATTCCTGAGCGTTTTTGAAATTGAAAATGAAATTAGAAAATTCCAGGTTGAATATATATGCCTTAAAATTTAATTTACATTTTATACATCGACATTCACAACTATAGTGAATTCTAAAGTCTAGTTGAACTGTTGATGCATTACTATATTATTTTACCTTAGTAATGAAATACAATCGCGTGACGCAAATAGTTATACCACCTACATTTCCAGGTTAAATGAACCATCTTCATCACATACATCACATTCAACGAGGTAACTTAATAATAATGGATAGATAAAACACTGAACAAGTAGATAAGAAATCGACCTTTAGATACAAGTAACACGGATTACTGAATAATTACTGCTAGCCTCAAAAAAAAAAAAAATTTCTTGAAGCAAACATTTTACTTACTGCTCTATTGCGGTCATTTTTAACAGCGGGCCATATGCTACTTACAAGCACTGATCCACTTAATGTAACTGATAAAAATATAAGAAGCCAACGAAACCATTGTGCTTGTAAAACCCAGAGAACCTGAAACATATCAACAAGAAATAGCGAATAATTTACTATCTTCTGCTAAAGATGGTCACAGCAATACTTTTAAATAATTCATAACAAATGATACTAATGATGCAGAGTACCATTGATTTATATGCATTCATAATAACAGGCAAGAAGTGACCGTGAAAAACGGAAAAACGGTGCATGAATATCGATTAATATGTTTAAAACCAGCGATTTGAAATATAAGAGAAGATAAATTTATTTTCGATTTTCTCAAATGAATTCAAAACTAATTGTTTCAACCCGACTGGATGTTAAAAGGATATCAATTTTTTATCACTTTCGTCAAAGATCAAATATCCAAGATAACACAGCTTAACACAAACCGATACAGGAACAAAGACTGATAGGCTATAGCCATAAGCGCACAGTATGTCGAAATATGAATATTGTAGACATGATTTCCGATACCAAAATAAAGAATAAAGAAAAAATGGTACCAATACCACATAGCAAAAAATAATTGTTGAAGCACCAGTAACTAAAATTTAAAACTATTGGCAAGTTTAGACAAACAAATATGGTAAAATGTCTTGGATTCTATTTTGGTAATTAAATGTCTATGAGTCTTACCTAATCTGAAATCAGCTCCATATTGATAAGTTGGGTTAGAGCCTGATGTTTGAATATATTTTGCAAGATTACCGCAGATAGCCGTGGAAAACACCAAAGTAACAGATATCCAAAAGGGTCCTAAAAACAATTGTAAAAACATGGAAAAGTATCAAAGCATAACTAAATAAGCGTTAAAATTCACAATTTTTAAGTTTCATTTAATGTACCCCATAAATCTGGAAGTGGTTGAATGTGATCAGCGATAAAATTGGATGGAAATCGTGGGAACATGCTGTACAAAATTCTCGATAATACCTGAAGAAATACTGGTTAAAATTTGCAAGTCTAAAAATTGAAAAAAAATAAATAAAATACTCTGGCGCTTCCATGCACGACAGCTCCATTAAAATGATACTTAAAATTAGAAAAAAGCAAAAATTCAAACTTCGAAACTCAAACCTGATCAGTATCCACATCAAAATACTGCTGGTAAAATTCGAATGAAAAAAAGTTCTTTTCTGTTGCACTACTTCGACTGTTTGTTCTTTCAGAAGTAAAGAGCTGTAAAATGATTAGAAAAAGTAAGCCTCAAGCTATACTTTCACAAATTTACAGACCAGATATATCAGGAGGAATTTTCAACAAAAAGCTCCCTAACAGCTATAATCCAATTATAAAAGACACACAAAAAAGTATACAGCTGTAAAGTGATTAGAAAAAGTAAACCCACAAGCAATACTTTTACCAATTTTCACACCAAATTTTGTTCTTATAATTGGAACGCTAACAAGCATTGAATACCATTATTGTTAGATGGTATTCGAAAAAATAAACGTAGTTATTTCCTAATTGAGAGAGAAATAGAATCAACAGCATCATACAATCTTGATGATACATATCACTTACATAGGACTGGTCCCCAAGTTCACCCGGATGTCGAGGATCATTATTTGAATTTACGGTATTTGATCCGAAATCTGCAACAATACCCTATTCAGTAACATCAACAACGAAAACAATATATTTTCTCAAATATAAAAGAAGAAGCCTACCTTGAAAATGTAAATCGTTCATTTGAACTGCTACGATTGAAGCTTCAAATTATAAACAGCAGGAAAAAAAGTATGAATTTGATGCAAAATTATACACGTGAATATTCGATATATGAAAAAGAAAAAAATTCATATTAAACAATTTCTATTATTTACGATGGAATACGATGGATTGGCCTAACGGTTCAATATCTCATTCTACGAATAAACATTATAATTGCAACTCTATCAATTTTCTAATCTTATTCTTTAGATGACAGTACAGTTCAGTTCAGTGCATTCCATATTACATTCCCAAGTTTATTAAAATAAGCATAGATGATTTTGTTCACAGATAAAAGAAAAACCAATGCAAAAAAATAGTCAAATCTTTGAATATTTCTTCAAACAAGTTAAATTTAAAAAAAAAACTAGAGAATATTTTTATTTTCATTAACAACATAAATGCATTAATCAATATGAGCATGGGCAAAGATACTGATAATTGGACACATTTAAATAAGCTAAATAATAGCGCCATCAGCATTTCAAATAGTCACACGTGGTCTGAGAATAAATTTGTATAATCTTCTAGATTAATAATCCATCATGTCTACATATCTTCCCAATATTTCTCCTTATGCTTATCTTTAAGCTATTTTCCTTATTATGTCTAATCTTTAACGAAAACGAAATATAGTTATTATGATAATAGTCCAGTGTTATGTCATGATCACTAAAACTTAAAAAGCGAAAGTGTATTTTTTTCTCTGTTATAGGAACTTTAAATCATTCAATTTTACTTTATATATGTAAGTGAAGATCCATTCAGTACATATATAACCTTCCTAGGCATAAAAATTTGACAATGTATGAGAAAAATTACCTGTAAGAGACAATTTTCCATATTTTACGCGTTAGCAATATTAAAAATCACACTCTTTAGAAATTTTTTTTGCAACATAAGTCACAAAAATTGCATGAATTACTGTTAAGTAAGAATAGTATACCTTAAACAATCACAGAGAACTGGTACACAATGTCAATAATAAAGAAAAGCAAACAAATAAAACACAGTGCCCCTCTTAACATGCACTACAGAAATTCAAAATTTAATCCCTTTTCAAGAAAAAAAGAAGGCTTGGTGTTATGCCACATATCAACAAATCCGAAAAAAGTCAATAAAATACACTCTAAACACGAAAATACACTAAATATCGCTTAGTTAGCGACCCAAAACTCCGAAAGCAACTTTAAGGCAACCGTGATTCTTGTTTAAAAATAGCTCAAATCTTATATTATGATATATTCTTGTAATTACACAAATAATAAGACCTTGAAATAATTGATAAAACTTCAACCGAAATTTAATTTGTAATTAAGAACATAAATAATAAGTCAGTATCTACATGTAGTAATCCTAGGATTCAAAATACACAAGTTTGAGCTATGATCAAGTATACTGGAAAAATAAATAACAAGAGGAACCGGTTTGAGCATCAGGAATGTATTGTTCTATGCTGACAATAGTTCAGAAAAATACCTGCCATTCTTGATATTTCTAAGTTTCTTTCTAATCCTGTAAAACTCTCAAATTTATTACTGCCTCTTTTTTGCCACAATAAAGGATGAAAACAGAAACATAACAGAACAATCCAAAAAACTAATTTTATCCACGTCCATTGCCGGAATATTCAAAAAAAGAGACCGAAAAAGCAGCATAAAAATCACAAATTGAAAACAAAGGGTTCATTTGGAAAGTATGTCAGCTTAAAGTAAAATAAAGTAAAATGAATATTTCAGAAAATCAAAAAGAAAAAAATCAATCTCCTAGCTCTCACATTGCTATTTAAATCTTCACAATCCACGATTCTTTTCAACAGCAATATCGAATCCAATATTTTCTCATTTCTTTCAACGTCGATCTTTATCCCGATGCACCGAAGAACTGTGATGTCGACGTGGTGAATTTTCTCTGAGAAAAATTCAAAAAAAATTCCCCGAATTTACAAAAGATTTCTTCAAGTTTATAAACAACGGAATCATCGAAATCATGAAATCGTGCCACTTCATGGTGGGGATAAGTGGATATGAACACCACCAAAGCTAAATAAGAACAGAAAATCTGACTGTTTCATACAATGCTTCCACATTACGTAAGACTACTTCATTGAAGATCATCTTTTTTACCTTATATTTTCTAATATCTTGTCATCAAACGATTCCTTACAAGTTTTACATCAAAATGTCCCTTAATCTTCCCTTAAAACTCAAACTTTCTCATCTTACAGAATCACTATAATACTTTCTAATAACCAACACAACTTAAAAAACCGGCTTCGATACATATGGAAACCAACATAAAAACGAATCTTGACTAACACCATAAAACTAACTTGCACTGACTATTGCGTTGGCCGTACCGACTTCTCTCCCGTTCATCTTTGCTACTACGTTCATCTCTACGTTCACGATCCCGTTCCTTCTCCTTTTCTTTATCGCGAGTTGAATCACGATCTTTACTCCGCGTATCACCCTTTTCCTTCTCACGCTCAACATCTCGGCTGGAACGTTTCCGTTCCTCTTCACTTTCACTTTCCTCGCAAGAACATTCACCACCACTGCACGAACATGAGCAACTGGAACTTATGACAACAATCATTATATTTTTCTTTGATTGTTTATAATGAAAAAGAAACAGGTGTTTCTTAATCTTTCCTTAAAAATTCAAACTTCCTCATCTGACAACTTATGACAATAGTCATTAAATTCTTCTTTGATTGTTTATATGATAAAAAAACTGAAAAGTTATTCGACAAGTTAACACAAACTTCTTTATCATAAATGCGCTCATTGACAACCATACAATGTAGTGGTTACTTTCATTTAATAAGAGAAGCACAATAGGCAATTTTCGAACCAATTATATTTTCTTAAACCTTTCTGTTCATCCAAACAATTAGTAATAATCTTACTCTGATGAACATATTGATTCGCTCCTTATCTGAATCTCTGTGGTTGACGATGCAAGAGCAGCTTTACGGGCTGCTATTTTAGCCTTTAAATTTTCTACTTCGAATTCATCAGCGCTTAAATCGTATTTATCCAAATCAGCATCATTTTCATCTTCTTCCTCCTCCTCTTCTTCCACCTTTGAGTTAAAATAAGGACGTGATTTCAACAGAAGCTTATCATTAATAATATCATCTAATATTCCGTGTAATATTAACAACAATAACGCTAATGCATACTGGGCATATTTCAAGTATCTAATCTTCAAGTGACCTTCACATAACATTAGCTCTTCCTCAGAAATAGCAACAATGACATTTACAAAAAGAAAAGAAAAAATACCTTATTTAACATGACTAATACCCTAAACAGTACTTCTAACAAAAAATAAAAAGCAAACCTCAGGATGTTGCATACCTCTTCATCGTTGCCATCAGATATAGCCTCTTTGGCATTGCTTTCCATCTCTTCAATTTTTTCCTTTCCTTCTTCATTTTCTCCCTCACTATTTTTCGCACACTCCTCTAGTTCAGTGATTTTTTGTTCCTGAAATAAAACATGTTGTGGAAACAATTTGAAACTGTAGAAGGCGCTGATGCAAATTCATCTTTATTACTTTGAATTATCTACCGCCGAAATTATCTTACCCATTCTATAATGTTAACAAAGTAGCGCAAATAAAGAATAAACCGTGTATGGATTGGAAAATTTCATGAAAACAGATAGTAAAGTCTCAGTATGATTGATTTCGCATTGCTGCGTATACTTTAAACATCTGACCCTTGATATTTTCTGATGTTTTGTCTATTCGCTTAAAGTATCAGGGAGTGCATTTCATCTTTTGTTTTTTGAACCACATTTGTTAATTCGTAGTTGGGAACTACAGTAGACTTCTCAAGATATTCAAATAAGAATGTATTCTATAGATTTTTTACAGCGAACGTAAAGCAATTAATACCTCTTCCGCTTTATTATCTACTTTTCGTCTTTTCTTTTTACGACCAAATTCATCAAACTCTTCATCATCTTCTCGTTCAATATACTCAACATTTTGTCGATCCATATATCCACCACCGTAACCTAGAAAACAACAGCCATTGAAAAATATATTTTCACTTTAATTTACGAATCCTGTATAATTATTCATCAAGAAACACGATTTGTTAATAAATTCACTACTTCTCTAACTCATTTAAATTCATAAAGTTGTCCGCTTAAACCATTAGTTGAGTTTATAAAGCCTACCAGTTCGTACTTCCAGATCACCTAGTTTTGGTGCATTACATATATTACACGCTGTCCTTCGCGCCCAATTTACATTGCCACATCTGAAATTTACAGATAAAAGTTTCACGCTGGATCAAAATTCTCTGTAAATGATAAAGAGCCTGAATATCACAAATGTCTACTACTTTGTTAGTGCTCTTTCCATCTTCCTAAACGGATAATTTATAACTAGTTCTTATTATAACTAAAATAACTAAAACTTAATAACTAATTCTCTGAGTTGTTAAATTGGTTTTGTGAGATTACATTGTACTGCATATGTTTGGCATACCTTCAAATCATATCAAACATATGCAATACAATGTAATCTCACGGAGGATTGCACCATCAATTCTGTTTTCCAGCATCAGTTTCAATTTCAGTAAGTTGTGCGGTAGTTATCACAAAAAAAAATTACAATAAAACTGACTTTGTGCATGCCCAGTCTTCAGCAGCAAACAATCCTTTAGATTTTTCTGCTGCATCTTTTCCAATTTCACGGCCTACACGGTTCTTGGAACGTGGCTTAGACTTGCCGCAACGTTCACATACACTAATGCGATCTGCGTTGATGTATGCACATTTCGCATCGATGCATGCCCATTCACCATCTCGTAAAGCGCGTCGGTGAGTGCTCGGTGCAGTGACAACGTTCGAAGCCATTTGACGTTGCCGTTCTAAGTAACGTGAAGCATCATCTGAACTCATCGTACAATATACCTTAAATTGCAATATATGAATGAAAAAAATAAAAATAAAAACATC